CTACCACCACTTCGGGACAACATGCTGACAGTGCTGAGAAGTGGCGGAAGAAACTCACAGTACTTACAGTAATTTTCGCATTTCTAGTCAAGTATACCTACCTACATTAATTTGTATTACAGGTTACTAAAAGTCCAACGGCGTATCTACATAGCAAACCTGGCTCTCCGCTACTACATCACCAAGGAATGGACCTTCGACAATACCAACTTCATCCAGCTCAGATCTCGTATAAAAGAGCAGGACAAAAAACATTTCTACTACGACATAGAAAACGTTGACAAGGAGGAGTATTTTAGGAAATCTTGCATTGGAGGGAGAAAGTATCTTTTGAAAGAGAAAGATGAGGATCTGCCTAAGGCCAAGGCTCATCATAAAAGGTAAGGAAGTCAGTAATCCATTAACTTTATTACCACCTTGCTAATGTATCTCTGTACGTACATTATATCTTAGAGGTCCCAATATACATCCATGCGGAACACTTATATCTAATGGAGGTCCAAGCAGGTTGAGTTTAATTAAAGGATGATGGGCATATTGGGCGTTGAACCAACAGAAACAAAAAGTATACTAAATTAAAGCTTAATACTAGTACTTCATTTCATAGTATGACAACAATCCTGAAATACGCGGGGATACGGAGATAGAGGTCGTTGAATATGCAAAGTTTCCATAGTATTTCACATCACATTAGGGTAATAATAAGTAAAATTTTATAAAAAAAAATAAAACCGACTCCAAAACACCTACACTAAAACGTAGAAAAATAATTACTAATTACCTACTTATTTATTAGGACGAATTATTAATATTTATGTAGGTATACCATGATTGAAAAAAACATACGGGTCGAATTGAGAACCTCCTCCTTTTTTGAAGTCGGTTGAAAATAGTATTAGGTCAATTGATTTTTATCGATCATATTGAGAGTATTGTATCATATGATTCTATCGATTTAGTAAGTATGTACCTATGTATACCGAATAAATCATAATCGATTACTCGATTGCAATAATCGATTATATTGCTGAAAATAAGGAATTCAATTAACAATCAAATGATAGTAATGATGGTAATCAATAAAATCGATTAATCGAATTGTTAATCGATAAATCGTTATTTGGCAATATCGATTAGTAATCGATCCGTGATCGATTATGCGACAACACTACAACTTAACTGGTAGAAATCCCATTGAAACATGACTGTGTTCGTGTCATTTCTCTAAATGGTACCTAGGTATGGTCCTACGCTTATAATGAAGAACATGGTTTAAAAATATACCATTTGTTGGCCCCACTCCTGAACTGTTGGACATAATAATGGATAAATAACTTAATATATTTAAAATATAAGTAGATAAGTATATTAATTAATAATATGTTTTTGTTTGCGCAATAAAGCACCTATTATCTACTATTACACATTATGTCAATTTCCAAGCAAACCCGGGAGTTTTTGGTAGTTTAAAAACAAATAACAGTAGTTACATTTCTGTTGGTTTTACGCCCAGATTCCATAGAAAAGTGCCCATTATCCTTTACGATTTAGGTTTTAATAGGAAATCGTAATTGTTATGAATATTCCATAATAATAATTGAAACTACTTACTGGTGCCTTTTAAAGATAAAGTTGTCTGGCCAACACAATCGAAAGCTTTTGTTTAGTCCTAGAGTAAAACGATGATGATGATAATGATGATGATGATGAAAAGATAAACTTTTAATGTATGTACAAGTTAAATGTGAGTTCAACCAAGCCTGTCAATATAGTTACCTCATCATATCAGCTCTAGGACCTCCACTGCTGAACATAGGTCTGCCCCAATGATTTCCATAGATAATGACCGGTAGGTACCTAGCGGCCTGCATCCAGCGCCTTCTTGCTACCTTTATGGATATACTTACCATCAATAATTAAAATATAGTGATCGATGATACTTACCCTTGAATTTCTATTATTATTATTACCTATTTATTTACGATTTTGTTTCAGAATGGTAATCCTAGATAAGACAGTGCAGTGTATTTTCTACGGCTACCTATTCTGGTGGGTGGTGAACACGCACTACATTAAGGGCCTTACTGACTTCCTGTACGAAATATTTACTATGTGAAGTGTGTATGTGATTGTGTTATAGTGTGTGATTTATATTATTCATTAAATTTTGTACAATATTTGTTTTATTATTAAAATTTTACTCGATTTTGTGTACGTTTAAAAATACTTACGTAGCTCAGTGGTCAGAGCAATCACCGCGCCAGGTCGTGGGTTCCATTCCCGTTCTTTCAAGTTAAGGAAAATAACAAACAGTTCGGTTGCCTAGATCGCTTTATAAATTATGCCGTATCTTTTGTATATTTCTTTTTGTTTTCTTATCTTGTAGGGTGTACAATTTTGCGAACTTAATAAAAAAAACATTATTGACAAAATTATTCCCATCTATCTTTCACACCGCTACAACTCTTGTGTAGTCAGGATCTACAGCCTGACCGCCAATAACCCAACCAGTGAAGGTCAAGTTTTATAAACGAGATAAGAAATAAAAAGCAGAAAGTAAAATCATGTTTTTTATTTTCAATAAACATTGTTACGAGTAGTTCACCAAGTACCAACTTACTGAGATAATACTTAACTACCACTAACACTTATTGAAAACATAAAGTTCATAACTTTAAATTGGATTACTAATGTTTGGCCAAAAATCGTTTTCCAAATTATCACATCGNGAAGGATACCCTTTAAATTAAATATCGTAATGTCAATTTTATACAGTGTGAAAATTTTTGTTATGTAGTTAAAAAAAAAATTTTGAGCATAAGTAGAAAATAATAAGTAGTAAATTTAAATTAAAATTGACATTACGATATTTAATTTATCAAATACACTTTGAGATTCATTTACGTGAGTGTAGTTGGCCAAATCAAAAGCTAAAAAATACCCATAAGGCCAGTAACTGTTACAAAATAAACCTGTATTATTATACCAGAAAATGTTACTTCTACTAATAATAAACCGTACTTTTTGCTATTTTCTATACTTAAAGATTTGACAAACCACACTTCACAATTCACTCAATATAACCAATACATCATGTATACAAGGCTTTAATATTTACAGTGTTAGACAGACCTCAATAAATATAATTATCGTATCACATTATAAAAGTACGAACTATACTTATTTAACTATAAATATTAACTATCTTAAACAATCTAGGACATATTAGGTACGTGCTAAAAGTGCTAATGAGGCAAGACTCGTTTTGATTTTAAAATTTAAAATAATCTCAAAAATAAAATAGTTCCAATTTATTTATAAATAAAAAATGTAGATTTTGTGAAATATAATTGTGATGATTAAATTTTATAAAATGTAAAAATTGATGTACCTGTTATTTAACATTTAAAAAAATACACGAGATTCAAAAGTTAGTTTGTTAAAGTAGTTATAACTTACTTTATAAAATTGATGGTCAACATCAATTATTTCAATTATGTAAAAGATTTGGGCTAAAAAAAACAGGTAAAATCGATAGCATGATAAAGTAAATACATATGAATGAGAAGTTATTGAAAGTAAATGCAAAAAAACAGGAACGTAAATGAGTAAAAAACAAAAATGAAATTCACTGGCTGAAACAAAATTGGAGAATTTATGTTAATTAATACGAAAATATTATTAATTAAAAATGTCAAATTATGTAATTATTTGGAATGTTATAATCACAGACAGATTTTATAAATAAATAATTATAATAATTTCATTAGTAAAAAATACAGAATGTCATCATTTTTGTAAATTTTGAATTATAAATATTTTCAATCTCATTTTAACAGCAAATTTTCTTAAATAATGTAGGTACGCCAATAAAAAAATATTTACACACTTATCCTAAATTATTACTTGAGCAAAAAAACTATTCAGTCATCTTTATTAAACTCTAAGCAAAAAAACAAATATACAAAAATAACCAGATAATTAGAAAAACCTCAAATTTTTGAAGCCTTAAAATTAAAAACAGAAACCAATTATAAAATACAGAATAAAATAATGTCATGGCAAGAATTAACAAAATAAAAAAACCGGCCAAGTGCGAGTCGGGCTCGCGCACAAAGGGTTCCGTAGCAGCAAATATAATAAACTTATTATGTCAATTTAATCAACCTATCTCAAAAACTATAAGAGATACTTTGATCAAACCAAAAATCGTTGAAAGAGTTAATTAGCATGCATCACCTCTATTTTTTTTAGAATTTTATACCCCGTAGTTATAAAAATAGAGGGGGGGGGACATACTTTTTACGACTTTGAGAGCTGATATCTCAAAAACCGTTCACTTTAAGAAAAATGTTTTTTAGAAAACTTTATATCATTTTAAAAGACCTTTCCATTGATACCCCACACGGGTATGTACATCGAAAAAAAATTTTCATCCCTCAGTTACATGTATGGGGGGCCCCACCCCCAATTCTTTTTTTTACTATTTAGTGTCATAATTTTGTAGCGGTTCATACAACACATATTCCCATCAAATTTCATCACTGTAGTACTTATAGTTTCCGAGTAAATCGGCTGTGACAGACGGACAGACGGACAGACGGACAGACGGACAGACGGACAGACGGACATGACGAAACTATAAGGGTTCCGTTTTTGCCATTTTGGCTACGGAACCCTAAAAAGGACTAAGCACCACATTCGTAGCTGATATAAGACAAACATACAAACAATCATAGCCACTGAAGTCTATACAGAAGATCTTAAGTACACCTCCGAGACAATATTTTCAAGTCTATCTGTCCTTTTTACTCGTACTAACATATAGCTAAGTGCAAAAGAGATGGATGCATCAGAAAATACGGAAAAAGTGGGAATAACCACTTTCAATTAAATTAACCATAAATCGAAATTGTAATTTAAACTGGCTTTAACTTTTTCATAAATAGCTTATAAACAGTTTTCCCAACTCGACCCGGTCGATATTTTGAGCAACTTCCAATTTAGAATTATCAAATTATTCTAACATAAATAAGCAGTCAATATCATTAAAAATTAAAACTGAATCCTCAATCAGATATGTGAAGTAGTTCATCTCTACCTGAGTCTAGTTCTTTCAAATGCTTCGATCTGTCAGTCCTGTCATCGTTTGTTTGTTTATCAAACTCACTACCATCATCTAAGACCTCTAAATACTTGCAGTCATCCTCACTGTCTGTTTGTCCAACTGCTGCATACCCAAACTTCTCATCTTCACCAGAATCAGATTTGTAAGCGTCGTTTGCATTCGATTCATTAATAAGAGAATTCTTTCTATCCCCAAAGATGTTCTTTACATGTGTAATTTCATCCCTAACTCTATCCCTCATACTTCCAACCGAATCGTACATTTTATCGCTTAATTTGTGGCTTAATTCCTTAATTCTATCGCCATGAGTTTTCAACAAAGATGGTCTTCTTTCAGGATCGAATTGAGGATCAGAATTATCAGATTCGGTGTCGTCTAGGGGGATCTCGCAAGGAGCGTATATGGAGTCCTTGTTCTTCTTACCTTTGACCTCTTTTTCGACCCACATATCGGTCCCAATGACGATGTTCCGTTGCTTCTTTTTCTGGTCGAAAGTCTTGAACATGACCTTGAAGGTGAGGATGTAGACAGTTGTCAGGATGAGGCAGACACCAGTGGCGAAGAGGAGATACATGGATACCTTCTCCACAACTGGTAGGATATTTAAGTAGAGTTTAAAGCGGTCTTCTAGAGATGGCGTGAGAGAGTACATTCTCTGTAAAGAAAGGAAATAATGTGTTATAATAAAAACAATAAATATAAAATAATTATTAATCTATTTAAGGACTTAAGGGCTGACTAAGGGCCAGTAGAGCAAAAAGAGTGTTTTAGTTTTAAACCAAGTTCCATTCTTCATTCCAATCTTATTATTGAAAGATGAGTAGTCCCAGGAATGTCTGTCTGGAAGCCGACTGTCTTGAAATGCGCAACGAATTAAATTAGAATTTTGAAGGAAATGCTTGATTTCCTTGAGGTCTAAAAGGTATAGGGGTCAAGCTGTCTCACAAGACATTATACATAGTTTGGAGAAAATCTTTTGGTGTTTCTCTCTAAGATGAAACACTAAGAAATATGATAATTTAACTTTCCCACGGGACAAACTTGACCTTCACTGGTTGGGTTATTGGTGGTCAAGCTGTAGATCCTGGCTACACAGGAGTTGCAGCGGTGGGAACAGGAGGTGGGAATAGTCTCATAAATACTAATAAATATAAATATTGTACTGACAATATCAAACCACAGCAGAGGTAGGTACATGTTGGAGAATCGTTCTGCGTTCTTGATGCTGCTAATGTCGTCCAGCGCCATGTTGATTTGGAACTTGGAGCTCACGTCTAAGGGTAGACCTGACTCGGGCTGTATCCAGAACCTGGGAAAAGGGAACGAAATGATTTATTATAATTTCACAGGATATGGTACCTAGTTGTTAAAATTATTGCAAGATATTGTCTTATATTTTACAACATTGGTTTTTAATAAGAGTTAAAGCCACGTTGTGTAAAATTTTAATGTGAGGATTAATGTAAGACACATTAAATATAAAAAGTGCTCAAAATACACAAAGAAAACCCTCACCTAGTCTCATGATCCTCTTGGTTCGGACTCAGGCCTTCAACCTTGCTGAACAGGACGTCCTCTCCCTTGTAGAAGTGAGGGTAGGACAGCGCTATGGGGAAGCCGTAGTAGCAATTTGAGACGTCGATCAAACCGTCTGGGAGGCATTTACCTGGAACAAAAAGAAAGAAAGAAATTAGGTATAGAGACTGAATAACAATCCATCACAAAGACACTATTGATCGAGCTAACTGCACACCTTGCTAGAATGCAAATTGCGATTCTCCCTCCCATTTATCCGCACACCTTCCCGCGTTTGCCCCGTCCAGATGCGCAGTTAACTTGACCATGATGCGCGTTAAACTAAGTCAGTGCTTGAGGTATTGGAGCGGCAAGAGAGGGTGTTTTTGAGACGTCAAATATCAGCGAATCTTTATTTTAGTAAGTGATAAGAAGAAGTAGGTACACTCTCTGATCATGACAGTTCGTTCGTTTCAGCCAAAATGACGTCCACTGCTGGACAAAGGCCTCTCAAGGATTTCCACAATGACTGGTCCTGCGCTGTTCATAAGTCCAGGTGCTTCCCGCAACCTTCACTAAAGTCAAAGTCAAAGTCAAAATTTCTTTATTTGTTTGGACTAATAAATAGTTCTTACAAATCGTCATTTTGCTCTTAAGGAGCCTCTACATGTCTCATAATCTTTTTACCCTACCAGCGCTTCGAGACCAACATTTGGCAAGTGCTGAGAAGAAGCGCCGCAACAAACTCAGTCACCACTGTCTGCCGGTTAATATAAATAAATAGAAATAGTAGTAGTAGGTACATTCGATTCAGGAGCAGTTCACTGAATTTACCATGCATTCTTGTATGGTGTATCTTATAAGAATGGGTATACAAGATTGCGTGGTATATTAAACAAGGTAGTGACGTGCTAATATCTAGACTTACATATAAAGATACTAGTAGAAATGACTCGCATACATAAATTTGAATAACTTGGATTGACCAGTCCCCGAAAGCAGCGCCTGTTCACAGACATGACGAGTGAACCAGCCATCGAACTAGATCGTCGGTCCACTTATTGGGAGGTTTGCTCACACTACGTCTTCCAGTCTGTGGCCGCTACTCGAGAACTTTTTTGCCCCAACGGCCATCAGTTCTACCAGTTATAAAGTCAGTAAGAAACAGTACATACCATTTCTGCAGAAGCATTTGTTCTCTTCGTGATATTTGCCGTTGTCCAGCATTTTCTCTGGGAAGGTATACATGTACGCCTTAAGACCACTTCTGGTGCCTTCTTTGACGGGTACCTGAAGAAGATGAAAAATAAATTAAGAAGATAAGCAGAAAATTTCCCAAGATAGAAAAAGAAGTGTTTGACGCTCTACTTCTCTGGACCATCCAATTCAGCTGTTAAAATTATGTAAAATAGCCTCTTGGAATTGTCATAGTCGACTTAATTATCGGTTTTTGCTTCTTCAATTAGGCTTTAGAAAGCACCCTTAAACCCCTCACTTATACTTACACTTTAAAATTTCAAGAGAACACCTGTTGACATGTCCTGTCTTCGTTGCTTAATTGGTACGGTGGGTTTAATTTTTTCAAGTTTAAAATTACTTAGTTAATGATTCTATCTAGGTTTCAACAATTCTGTTTTAATATTATGGTTTCAATAATTTACTTACCAAAGGTGCAGCCCGGCAAAGACTCTTCCTATAAAACAAAATCGACTCGTTCTTCCCCAGAGCCCCTTTGAACTTGGTGCCATCAGAGGCGTTCTGGACGTTACTGCAATGCTTGCCCTCCCACTGAGGGAGGTCGGTGGACCCTCTGTAGGTGTCGATGAGGCCGGACTTGGTGACGTCATCTTGTCCAGTGTAGATTGTCTCGTAGTCACCGGTGAAGTCGTACATCTGAAAGATACGGATAGGATTAATGAAAGTTAAAATATTAGGTTTGTACTAAAGGAAAAAGAATAAAGAATGAAAGGAAATTGAGGAAAGAAAAAGGAAAATAGGAATAAATGTTTAAGCTAAGCAGCTTAATAATTTTCGGATCTATGTATTTTAACATAATAACTGATATTAGATTTATATGTAAGGAGTAACTTAGGATACTCTTATTGTAGAAAAATAATTAGGATACCGCATTAAAAACCCATGAAATACCTCCTAGCTAGACCAAGATAGTTGTTATACTGTTCTGATCATTTTTTAGAGAGTTCGCTATCCTTGACTACTGAAATCGCTGCTTGGGTTTCAAAATGGACAAACCATAGCTGTAGGTACAGGAGTTGCATTGTGAAGAAGGGATACCATTTAAGAGGAGGATGCGGTTCGTATCAGATACATACAGAAGTTTCTAGCGGTAGGAACGAGAGTATAAGAACATCAGATCTCCCCGACCCATCTGGCCAGCGTGGGAAGTGTAGGCCAAATCCTCCATTTGCCTCTGGTAAATTAGAGGGTCGTGCTCCTGAAGTGGAGACTAAATGACCTGATGACTTACCCTATCAATCAGCCCCAGCTTGTCGAAGTAGATCCATCCCGGCATGAAGGTGTTTCCCAGGGTCATCAGCTCAGACTTGTACCCCATCATGAACTCTTTCGCTGTCATCTTGGCCAGAGGCTTGGTGTTGGTGAGACTGATCAGGTTGTTCAGTCCAAAGCGCGTCATGAAGCCCTGGGGCGCTACCACGTTGGCTATGCTCTGGAAAAGAAGATTACATATTAGTTAACTCTTAAAAATCATACATTTTTACAAATAGGATTTCAAAAAGCACTTTTACACGTCCCAGTTTTAACCCTACCACTGCTTCGTATTTTTTGAAGGGACGCGCGCTGGTAGCTTGAAGAGCTTTTCCAGCTTCACCGGGCGAGTACAGAAGAGAAGAAGGTACCGTACCGACGTTCGCGATCGGGCCGTATCGAGCGCATAATGCGCCCGATCAGTGGCGAACCCAACTAGAGGGTTGCCCACCGCGGTGTTGGACCAAAGTCCAGCCTACGGCGGGCTCACTCTAGTGGGCCCGATCGAGGGGACTACGGACGCGGCCTGAGGGAACCAGGGTAGGCTGGGACTACGGCTCAGGCATGTCCGGGGGACGGATTGGGGCCACTGCTTCGGGACTATAGATGCTGAGAAGAAGCAGCGCAAAAAACTCAGTCACTATTTGGTTTTACAAAATAACTATAGGTAGGCTTAACTCAATCAGTGCCTGAGGTATGAACGGCACGGGAGGGGTGACATTGATATAATAAGACGTGACAGAGCACCCTCAGAGCATGACACATGCTGAGCGGTAGCCATATTTGGTTCGAACTCCCTATAATAATCCAACTGTGTATGTATTTTTTATTTATGTTAGAACCAAAATAAATGTGATTCTTTCTTTCTTTCTTTCTAATTCAGTAAGTGCCTGAGGTAATATGTGAGCGGCATGGGAGGGGTGACATTGTTATATTATATTGATATTGTGAAATGCGAAATAAAGATTTGAGTATTGAGTATTATGACGAGATAGAGAATACAAATCTGAAGAATATCTGAAGTCTCGTTGACCTTTGGCGTCTTTAAAACGAATCTTCCAGTAACTTCTTGGCCAATTTTAACTTGGTCCACGGGCCAATTCGCTGGTTTGAGTTTTTAAATAGTTATTATCTTCCAGTGACTGGGCCCACCTTTAAGATTCTAGAGTAGATTGTTGATTTGGTATTTAATTTATGAATAAAACATTGAAGGCCCATGAAAGTGGTGACTGAGTTTGTTGCGGCGCTTCTTCTCAGCACTTGACAAATGTTGGTCTCGAAGCGCTGGTAGGGTAAAAAGATTATGAGACATGTAGAGGCTCCTTAAGAGCAAAATGACGATTTGTAAGAACTATTTATTAGTCTAAACAAATAAAGAAATTTTGACTTTGACTTTGAAAGAAAATTCAAACCAGCGACTTGGCCCGTGGACCAAGCTAAAAGTGGGCCAAGTCACAGGAAGACTCTGTAAAACACCCTCCCATGCCGCTCCCATACCTCAGGCACTGACTGACTAAGCACTAGACCTATAGCCAGGCCTGTTCATCTCCGCGAGTTTACATCGAAAACAAAACACGCACGATGGCCCACCTACAGGATACTATTCGACAAGGCCTCACATACGAGCGAACATTGACTCACGCACGCGTATTCTTGTGTATGATGGAAGATAATAAAGAAAATGGTGTACTAAATACTGTGCAATATTTAACTGCCTAAGGCCCAGTTTTTTGATTCATAGTTAAAATAACAAATTGTTAAATTTTGCTACTAATGGTTAAATATTAACAAAATGTTAACTAATAGTTAAAAAATGTACCAAAAGTCAAGCTAACCATTGTTCGAAAAACATTTTTTACTGATATTTAACCACTTGTCATTTGACATCTGTCAAATTTGACTATTGGTTATTTTAACTACGAATCAAAAAACCGGGCCTAAGTAATAATAAAAACACAGAATGTATTTTTTTAAGTTGCCTCAAGACACTGAGAGGTAAATAAGTAGTTAATATTATTCATGATAATTCATGCTAAATCATGTCTTTCCTCCGCCATTTTCCGCAGTTTGGCACCTCACGTCACATCATTTTACAGAAGTCAGCCCTATAGCTTCGGCGCAGTGCCGATTACTGACGTTTGTCAACAAAATGGTGCTTGACTCTTGAGACAGGCTAAATTGCACCATATTGTTAATGACATTGAGCATACATTTTTTTAAATACCTTCGCGAAGTAAAACTTCTGTACGTAGTTTATTTATTATTCTGTGCTATAGCTTCTATTTGAACAGTCATTCACGCACTCAACACATAAACCTCCAACAGCCTCCTGGCGGCGATAGGGAGTCGCTATTGCTGTCCTATATTGAGACACTGGAACAGCGTCCATGTCGGCTCGAGACCTGCTCGGGTAAATGTAAAGTAGGTTAGGTTTTCTTTTTCCACTCTCTTTGTTTTAATTACTAACACTAGCTTATAAGTACATCTGTAACTACTAACCCACTATGGAATTATTTTTTTTTTTTTTTTTCCGAAATAAATTTTTTTTATTATTATTATTATAAACCTTCAAAGCTAGTTATTTCGTTTAGTGCTCATCAAAATATCTTAGCATAGGTCATGTCGAAACGCTAAGTACTGCTCAGGTTAGTGCTTATTTCGCAATGGCTTAGGCATGCCTAAATAACACACAAACACTTAAAATTACTATAGATTTACGATTATGACATTTGAGTAGTAGTTTTGTTTACTTTGTTTTAATTATAGGTACAGTCAGCGTCAAACAGTTCGTGACACCCAAAGTGGCCAAAAAGTTGACAACACTATTAAGACGTGTGGCGAACTTTTTGGCTACTTTGGGTGCAGAGTAAATACAGCAACTCCCCGCTAATCCCCGCTAAATTTTGTCAGTGTGTGCGTGCGCGCCGCATACGTATTGGCGCGCTCACATACAAACCGCGCTCGGTGCGTTTCTATGAAGATGACCTACTCATTTGTATTTACTCTGTTGGGTGTCACGAACTATTTGACGCTGACCGTTCATAATAAATACCTAGACATTTTCAACAATTTACACACAGATTGTTGTAGCTCTAGTGTTACATACCTAGCCATTTTCAACAATTTACACACAATTTTTTTTCACGTAGCTCTAGTACTTTTATTGGCGGTCAAGCTGTAGATCCTGGCTACACAGGAGTTGTAGCGGTGGGAACGAGAGGTGGGAATAGTCTCGTACTTTAAGTAATTATAATCTTAATTTTAAATGTGACGTTCATAAAAAAATGTCAGCTTCTTGATTTCTAAACATCGACTTTCGATAAAACTCACATCCAACAACACTATCTATCAAAGTAATCATATGATTCAGCTATTTCCTAACGTAAAATCTAGATTTCCCAGCACGTATGAATTTACTGTTATAATGTGTTGTGGAGCAGATCTATGGATCACTAGTTATAATTTCAAGATCATTAGTTTGATATACAAAAGTGGTGTAACTAAATTAATTTCGTTGCGGGTCCAATGACTAACTTTCCCCGGGACAAACTTGGCCTTCACTGGTTGGGTTAGGCGGTCAAGCTGTAGATCCTGGCTACACAGGAGTTGCAGCGGTGGGAACGAGAGGTGGGAATAGTCCCGTATACTCGTACCAGGGAGCTTGCTACCTGTTTGCATTCTAGAAGTCAAAACTCATAACGTATGCGTTTAAAATATTATAATACTCTAATTTTAGAGATTTTGTACGTGCTGTTGTATTTAGGATACCTATTCATAATAATATATCGTTGAACATAAGTGAACAATACTGATAAACCTGTCAAAAGTAGGTTTCAAACGCAAAATTGAGCAAAATGAATTACCTACTTGCATCTCAATTATTCTAGTAATTTGTCCCAAATTACCAATCAAACTAATGAGTAATTATTCAAAATGGCGCCATTTTATGTGACGTCTAAAGATGTAATCAAAGTAATTAATTGACTAATTATTATTACAATAAGCGATAGTGTTTTAACTAATAAGTATTAACTAGATCTTTAACCTTATTTTGGAACAAAAGCCTAAAGTTATCTTAATGAGGGCTATCGTTTTTATACTTAACAGTTGGCACCATGGCCGTAGCTAGGGGGGGGCATTGTGGGGCAATGCCCTACCTTGAAACCTCAATGCCCTACCTTAAAAATATCTAAAACTAAGGTAAATTATTATAATTAAATTGTTTGTTCATAGTTTGAGAAAAAAAATGTAGCGATAGGTATCTAGGTTTGCAACAAAATTTATAATGTGATGGTAAAACTCTTGTATTGGTTCAAACTAAAGCCAATGAAACGGAACGCACCAATGACAAATGTCATGATGACATTGTGCTGAATAAAAACAAAACGTTAAAACAAAAACAACCTCAAATGGATATTGTTTATATTTTATTGAATTTCAGGTGTTTTATCAGTGAATGCAAAAAAAAGTGTTACATTCATACGTTAGCATCAGCCATTTTTTTCGTACTGTTTTTGATTGCAAGTCTTGATGAGTTGGATCTTGGATGTAGATAAAATGGTTCCACTGAAAAATTTGGGTAAGTTTAAAAAAAAAATAATTCAAAAAAATTGTCATGTTCAATTTACAATTTTAACTAATTTTTCAGGTCTGAAAATTCCATCAAGAGAAGAGGCTAGTGTGGTTAAAGCTTACTTGAGTCGTAACGAGGATATAATGGAAAATACATTGCAAGTTTTGTACAGGCAACGAGAGGCGTTCAAAGATACATATGAACTTTTTGCGTCTGTGGCGACCATAGGATGTAGCACTGCAGTGTGTGAATCTACGTTTTCAACTTTAACTGCAATCAATAGGCCTCAAAGGCTGTCAATGGGTCACGAGAGAATGGCTGGTATGGTATTTCTGGCCTTTGAAAAAAAAAGAACAAAATCAGTTGATCTGAACGAAGTTCTTCGCATTTTTAATAACATGGCGAATCGTAGAATTCAGCTGTTTTAAATGTTTTTTATTATTATGTTAGTTAATTATTAGATCTTAATGATATTTTTGGTCGTTTCTATTTACTCGTATCACCCCACCCAATAATTAATTATTACCTCACTCTCACTCAGACGTGGATCTCTACATCCAAATCTGGAAGTTCAACCATCTTATTCACTTGTTCTTCATCATTGAGGA